CATCAACATTTTGCGTAAAACAAAGTACCTATGTACTTTGTATACATGCATATCGATGGTGAAGCGCACAGACATACTATGTATTAAATTTAAAATTCTGCAAGAGAGCATTTTGAAAATTTGCAAATGTGCGAGAAGAAGCCAGTTAATTAGAATTCTTTTTCTTCTTGCATTGCATATTCACATACTGGATGTTAGCGATCATATAATGCTGGATTATATGATCGCTGTACTTAATGTACCAGTTCACCCGCATTTTTTATATTACGGAGGCATGATAATTGTTTTGTCAACTCATCTTTTACCTTCGATTTTGCCCTGAGCAAGGAGTTGAAGAACTTCATATTTGTCGTTTCTTATTAGAGATCTTTTTTCTTTTGATATTTGCAAAATCTCTCGATTTGTATACATTCTTCTTAGAACCTCTTCATTTGTAATGTGATTAGAATAACGCTGCAAAATTAAATTAGTTTCTGATTTCAAATAAGTTTTTATAATCCTTCTGTCTATAACCGTATACCTGGGTATATATTTTGTAATTTAACTAATCATAACTTTTTGTTTATGAGTCCGATTGGTTTCTCATTCATTTCAAATATAGTAATTCACCAAAATTTTTCTCCAACACAAAAGCAACATTTTTGTAGAAACATATTGAACGTTTTGCAACTAAAAAATTTGTGCAATTTCCATATAAAATTTATTAAATCCCCGGGTATACTGATTATTGACGGAACGTATATTTTTTAGAAGGTTTAATAATACTTGAGTTTGGGCACAAAAGGTCGTGCACTTAGCATTAATTGGTTAATAGTGTTGAATTTGCTAATGCCAACTGATGTGCTTAGCATATTTGTGATCTTCATCACTATATAGGTTTTTGTAATATAAGCATTCAAAGAAGGCACTAAGACCTTTTTTTGTCAGAAATTAATGCACGTACGTCACTGTGCCGTTCGAAATTAGTATTGGTATAAGAAAATTTGCTACTTAACATATCAGTGCACTTCACCACCGACATATTATTATACTTACACTCGAATAAGTGTTGCAAATATCATTCAGCCTTTAAAATACTTACATAAAAATATTATAAAAAATATTGAAGTGTCCCATATTTAAATAAACTATTTCACCTTGGAATTATATTTGCATATATTATAGTTTTTAATATGTAGGTATGCTTATAATAACTAATAAGTATTATAGGAACAATTTTTAATGCATTTAAAATTTTGTTTAAAACGAAAAACAGAAATGGGAGTGTTTTATTTTCTATATTTTTTTTTAATTTGATATTATTGCGTTAATTCTCAACTATTAGTTTGTATTTAAAATTTCTTTTTATGAATGTGAGAAAGAGACTTACGAGTTCTAGTAATTATATTGTTTTTTCTATTGATAATTAAGTATATTGCGGTATATTGCGACAAAATAAGTCAAAATTTATTGTAAGGATTTGAAAAAAACAATAGTGTTAAATTATTTAGCTCAATAATGTTAGAGATGAGAAATTTTCACTGCATAATAGATTGTAGATTTCAACGGAACGGAGTGGGGCAGAAGTAACCCTCCGAGCCACCGCAGCAATTCCTTTCTTATTGTAGCCTGTAACTGAATAGTTGCATATGGTCTATTTTTCAAATTTCAACACATTATGTTTTAACCGGTCCTACTAGCACGGCAGAGTACTACCCTTATGCAACAAGAGTATTTTATTTTTTCTGTATAATACGAAGTATTATCAATGTCCGTTTTTCGTGCATAGATGGAATTTTTAATAACATCAATGTAGATGGCTTGAGTTCTACATTGTTTAACGAAAGAACCTTAAGTACAAATAACAAAAAATTAGCTGTGTCTTTATTGATTTCTATTATATTGACTTTCCAAACTAATATTATGGGTTTCGATAAAAATGTATTTTGTATTTACTATTGAGAGTGTATGCCATTCCTCGGTTGCATCACCTACTAATATTAAAAATTATAGATAACACTATACATAATATACTGTTTTTTGAAAATTTCTTCCCATTTAATTTTATATTTCGATGAATGAACCACTGCAAAGAGTTGGAAAAAAATATAGAACAACATTGGCTCTTGAAGAACATTTGCGTTTGTTTTAACTAACAAAATTTCAAAAGCAAGAGGTTCCTAAATACAAATAAAGTTTGTACTACATAATATTTAATAGCTTTATTGGAATATTAATGGATTGGCGTACATTAATATTTATTATTGAAGGTATTATTGAATTTTATGTCAAACAATTTGTGCTTAATTCTAAAAATTATTATTTTTTTGTTCCTACAGTATCGAAGTATACATACAACATAATTTTATATTTGTATTTTATATTTATTTATTATAAATGAATCCGACCGATTATGCAATGGTTGTTGTACTGAACCTTTAATCGAAGAGTTTTTGGTACAAATCGTGGTTGGATCATAAAAATGATAATTGATTAATTTATAATTGTATAGCCTAGTATTAAATATGAAAAAATATTTTATTTCAAATTGTAAATTTTAAATTTCCTCCAAAAATGAGCGTTCATTAGTGCACACAATAATCATATGCAATTAATTTGTAATTGTTTCATGGTTAGATACAAAATGTTACATGAATTTTTATGTTACATGAGTAGAAAATAATCACACTACTAGCTCTTATTAATACATATTAAGAATAAAATTTATAAAATTTTAATTTACTTAAAATTTAAGTCTCACTTTAACTTAAAGCTTACTAAAATACTTAATGTAACTTAAAAGGACGCCTAGTAACAACGTTTTTGCAGCTAGTTGAATAATAATTTTTTTTTTCGTGGAACACAACAGTTAATGTGTAAGTTTATTACTTAATAAATGTACAGGTATGTGTATAAGTACATAATATATAACATTATCGATTCCGTTGCCTTTAATTCCCACTACAATAATATGCTAGCGATTACTACAATTTTCGCGAAATAAAAAAAAAATTAAAATTATTTTTGGAAGTGATTTTACTTTCATTTTATTTTTAAAACTCATAAAAAAATTTTTTTTTTAATTTATATTTTCTTATCTTTAAAAATTACAAAACAGAAAACCACAACAGAAAAAAAAAACTTCAAAAGAAAATTTATTTTCTTTCACCTGTTATCTTTAAAAAATTATTTTTAGAATTATTTTTTCATTTTTTTTTTTGTTCTTTTCTTTATTTTCTGATAAGAAATCTTCAATCACATAGTCACATATACATAAATTTTTATGCTTTTTACATTTTACACAAACAAAATTTAAACCACAAGAACAATAATCGAAAATTTATAAATATAATGTTAATAAAAATGTTACGATCGTAACATGTCTGTTAAATTTAATTATGTTTTTAGTTAATTTCTATGTAAAATAAATAGCAAGCATGCAATCAAACATGTAGTCAAGTAATCCATTCGTGTTACTCACCTTTAAAGTGAAATAGGAGTTAAAATAAAATTACACAATATTTAATTCACCTCTTTTAATCTCATTTTTTCTCAATTTATTTCTCTCTTTCTCTCTATTTTCATCATTATATCTTACCTGTTTTATAATTATTATATACAGCTATGTATAGCTATGGCTTTATACAATTATTAATGATCATTTTCGGAGTTGAATTCGGAATATTTTTATTTTAATTATTTTGGAGGAGATGGAGTAGATGTAATGTAGATATTTTAAAATTCTTATTGAGAAAATAAAAATGTTAAAAATATGTGAGTGAACGGAAGATATTTTTTTTTTGTTTTCAACTCTTCTCATAACAGAATATTATGTTAGCAGGTAAAAAACAAAAATTATATTACCTTTTCATTAAATTTTATGCTATTCGTTTTTTTCTTATTTTCATTTTTATTATGGTTTTTAATTTTTTTTTTTTTTATTATTATAATTTTTTTTTTCCTCGGTTAGGTTGATATTCATTTTGCGGCAAACTATCCAATCAGTATCGTTCAGGATATTGAAATGTAAGTGTGATTGCATTATAGTTCGTGACAGTAAAAAGAAAAATTAATTCGCGCGTGTCTTTAACGGTATTTTTTCAGCGCTTATATTTTGTGTGAACGAAAGCAAATAGAAAAAATATTTTATGAAAAATTTAAAAGTAAAATTAAAATTTATTTTTTTTAAATTATGATGTAAAATTTTTTTTTATAGAGAAAAAGGCAATAGAAAATTATTATTTATAATTAATAAAAAAAATAAATAAAATAATAAAATGGGGTTTTAATTTTATTCCCCATATTGGAGTAAAAATAGCAGTAAAAATAAAAAAAATTATTATATAAAAATTTCTTATTCATACAGAAAGAAATTTAATAAAAATATTATTAGTGAATTAGAAGAAATAAAAAATATTATTAAATAAAATAAAAAAAAAATTTATTAATGAAATTAAACTTAAATATTTATGTACTTAAAATTAATTAATAATTAATAATGTGGGATTATACTTAAAAATAAATGGTACATAATTTATAATATTTAAATTTAATCTAGTGAAATTTTAACTGATATAATAAAAAAAAATTCTAATATATTAATTTAGAATTTAAAATTAATTATTATTCATTAATGGTACTTATTATATAAATTAAATAATTATGTAATTAAATAATAAATAAAATGATTTAAATTTTTTAATAAACTAATTTTGGAAATTTAATTAATCTGTATAACAATAATGTATAAAAATTTTGAATTGTTATAAACAAAAACTGATTTAGAAAATATTTTTAATATTTACACACAAGTATATTTCATATTATTTAATAATTATGACGTATGTATTTTTAATATTTGAATAACATGTTTCTTAAAAAGAATTTCTGTACATGCATCATTAGTTTTTAATTATAAAAAAAAAAATAAATTATTTAATACAATTGTATATTGTACAAAAATATCATTTGAAATTATAAATTAATGTAAAATTAAAAAATATTAAAAAAAAAACCTGAAAAAGAGGAAAAAAATTAACAGCAAAACCCAAAAAAAAATTAAATAAATAAATAAAATACAAGAAAATTGAAAAAAAAAAAAATAAGTTATACCAAGTTATTATTATAACAGTGTTATACTCTAAATGTATTTGGATATAGAAGGTGATCAAATTGTACCATCACCAAGTTCGTGGGTAATGCAGGTAAGTTATTTAGAATTTCAATTATAATTAAAAAAAAAATTTTTTTTTTTAAATGAATTCCGGATTTTTGGTCGAAATTAAAATTAATTTAATTGGATCAAAATTGAAATTCAATCGAATTTCTTTATAGTTGTCATTAAACTCAAAATACAATTAATTTAAAATTATAACTTTTGTTGAACTAATGTGTTTTTAGAGAAAAGAGATGATATTGTTAGTTACCATAGAGTTACTTATGGTTTAGTTACTTTTCTTAATTAAAACCATTATAGGTTTTCTAATATTTGTATAAGAACTAATAAAAAATTATCATCTATTACAAATTATTACCTATTCGTTCTATAAAATTATAATTTTCGAGTATTTTTAAAATGTATAGAAAATTTAGCCACAATTTATTTATTTTACTTTTTATGGTGAATTAGTTCAGTTGATATTTTGAGGAAAACTTGAAAAATTTTAATTTTTTCTTTTTATTATGACATTTTCAGTCGATATTTTGAGAGAAATTTAAAAAATTTTAGCTGAAAAATTAGTTGTCTTATTAGAAAAATGTGAGAATTTCCAATTACTTCACTTCTATTATAAAAAATGAAATTTTTTATTTGCAATTGATTTAAAAGCGAGATGAGAAAATGGGGTATACAATACATTTGAAAATAATATTAAAATTTTACTTTTAGTTATTGAAAGTTTTTGCAAAATTTACTATATAATAGAGATGTCAAGGAGTTAACATGAAACGTTAAAGACATTCGTAGTAAGAAAATGGGAAGGTATAAAATATTAATTTTTCGTTAAAGTTTCATAAATTGAATAAATTGAATACAAAAAAAAATAAATTTTTTAGGCATAGTGGAATAGGAACTGCTGTCTGCAATTAAATATTTTTATTAAAAAACACTTAAAATTCGTATTACAATTTTACTTTAATTGAAATATTTATTTTTCAAGTTAAAATTTTAAATTTTTTTTAAAGATGACAATACAATTTTACAGTACATAATTTGTGAATTTTAATTATTTGATTAAAGTAAATCGAAGTAAGTTAAAAAATATTTTAAAAAATAAGAAACTAATATGGGAAAGCAATGATTTAGAAGAGCCCTAGTAAAATCTAGTTTTCATATTTTTGTCAAATTATACAAATTTTTTTTTTTGTAAATATTGTTCAGTAATAGAGCAAAATTATTGGGTTTGTGTTAGACCTTTCTAACCCTATTCTCACTGTTATATGAGGTATAATGATAATTGTGTGTAAATTACAATGGAAAAAATTTCATATTTTACTTTTAATATAGAAAATAATAATTCACTTCATTAAAATTTTTTATAGTGAAAATTACTATAACTAAAAAATTATTATAATGCATGAAAATGTAAAAAAATATTTGCAATATTAAAATATTGGAATAATTGTTTAAAATTTGATTAAGAGCGACAAAAATAATAGAACAATTTTATAAATTCTGTTTATGAAAATAACAATGTATTTGGACTATTTAATAAGATTTCATTAAAATCTAAAATATCAATGACTGTATATCATTATGAAAAATTTACAGTCATACTCCAAAATAAGAAATCAAAACACATCTGCAACTATGTTGTATAGAATCATATGAAACCAATATAAAACATTAGACAATCCTAAACCATAACTGCCTTAATGTTAATCTATAGCCTTCTGCATAACGTTTCGATACCCTAAAAAAAAAAACTAGTCATCATTATTGCATTAATTTCGCTACAACTGTTATTTCCAGTACCAAAATGTTCTCTTTTATTAAATTCCGAATTAAAAACTAGAATTTTTTTTTTATTAAAAATCTAAAATACTAATAACAATATTGAAAAATTCGTAATTTCCTGCCTGCCGAGTATATCTATATAAAACTGTTATAACAGTTAACACAATTCCAATATCGAAAATACGATAAAATCGAAATGAACTTTAAATCACAATTTAATTCTTATTTTTTATTTTTTTTTATATTTTTTTGCTTACCAGCCATACTGTCTGTTCTAAAAAACATAAAAAAACAAAAAAAGTATTAAAAATTTTAATTCTAACATTTTATTTTATTTCTGCTTTTTTTTTTATATATTTATTTTTTTCGAACATCAATTGCTAATACACCTATGTACACCTGTTCTTATAAAAGAAAAAAACAGAATTACTGTATATAAAAATATGTGAAATCAGGATGACTCAAAACAATTACAAAAGTTATTAATAAAAAAAAACATGAAAAAAAACTATGTGTAAAATAATAAAAAAAAGTAAAGATTTATTAATTGTTTTTTATCAATGTTTTCGCGGATTGATAAAAAACAAAACAAGTAAAAACGTTTCAGTCGGTATAAACCGATTGAATTATACCCTGCACCTTTCGTTATTGTGTAGCAATTACTCGAACCTGTGAGATCATTCTATAGAAACTTCACGGACATATCTGACCTATAATTGGACATCCGACTGCCAAGTTTCATGAATCTGACCTTATAATTTTTCCAAATATTTAAAATTAGCTTTTGGAGTTGTATGGTAAGTACCTGAACCTGCCAAGCAATTCCACCAAAACTTCACAAATATATCAGATCTATAATCGGACTCACAACTGCCAAGTTTCATGAATCTGACTTTATTATTTTTTCAAATATTAAGAATAAGCTTTTAAACTTGTATGGGAGCTACTCGAACCTGTCAGGCAATTCCACCAAAACTTCAGAAATATATTTGAGCCATAATTGGACACATGATTGCCAAGTTTCATGAATCTGACTTTATTATTTTTCCAAATATTTAAAATTTGCTTCTGGAGTTGTATGGCAGGTACCCGAACCTGTCAAACGATTCCTCTAAAACTTCAGAAATATATTTGACCTATAATTGGACACATGACTGCCAAGTTTCATGAATCTGACTTTATTATTTTTCCAAATATTAAGAATAAGCTTTTAGACTTGTATGGGATCTACTCGAACCTGTTAAGCAATTCCACCACAACTTCAGAAATATGTCTGACCCATAATTGGACACATGACTGCCAAGTTTCATGAATCTGACTTTATTATTTTTCCAAATATTAAGAATAAGCTTTTAGACTTGTATGGGAGCTACTCGAACCTGTCAAGCAATCGCACCAAAACTTTAGAAATATGTCTGACCCATAATTGGACACATGATTGCCAAGTTTCATGAATCTGACTTTATTATTTTTCCAAATATTTAAAATTTGCTTTTGGAGTTGTATGGTAAGTACCTGAACCTGCCAAGCAATTCCACCAAAACTTCACAAATATATCAGATCTATAATCGGACACACAACTGCCAAGTTTCATGAATCTGACTTTATTATTTTTCCAAATATTAAGAATAAGCTTTTAGACTTGTATGGGATCTACTCGAACCTGTTAAGCAATTCCACCACAACTTCAGAAATATGTCTGACCCATAATTGGACACATGACTGCCAAGTTTCATGAATCTGACTTTATTATTTTTCCAAATATTAAGAATAAGCTTTTAGACTTGTATGGGAGCTACTCGAACCTGTCAAGCAATCGCACCAAAACTTTAGAAATATGTCTGACCCATAATTGGACACATGATTGCCAAGTTTCATGAATCTGACTTTATTATTTTTCCAAATATTTAAAATTTGCTTTTGGAGTTGTATGGTAAGTACCCGAACCTGTCTAGCAATTCCACTAAAACTTCACAAATATATCTGATCTATAATCGGACATACAACTGCCAAGTTTCATGAATCTGACTTTATTATTTTTCCAAATATTTAAAATTAGCTTATGGAGTTGTATGGCAGGTACCCGAACCTGTCAAGCAATTCCTCCAAAACTTCGGAAATATATTTGACCTATAATTGGACACATGACTGCCAAGTTTCATGAATCTGACTTTATTATTTTGCCGAATATAAAAAATTTGCTGTTGGAGTTGTATGGCACCCACCCGAACCGGTGCAGCTATCCCATTATAATTTTTAGAGCATGTGTAGAATATAATTGGACACATGTATACAAAATTTTATATTTATAGCTTTGTTAGTTTTTGAAATATTTAAAATAAACTCTTGGAGTTGTATGGCAGCTACCCGAACCCGTTGTCCGACTTAGTCCAATAACAATAGGGTTCGTCCTTGGCACAAAAGAAAAAACTTGTGAAAGTTTGGTGTCGATTGCATTATTCGTTTTTGAGTTATCGTGCGATCGGACGGACGGACGGACGGACGGACGGACGGACGGACGGACGGACGGACGGACGGACGGACATGTCTAAATCGACGCAGAATTTTACGCTGAGCAAGAATATATATATATGTCCATACCGCAGATGACTCCTTCAAGTAGTTACAAACTCCATACCAAAGTTAATATACCCTTCACGAAGTGCAGGGTATAAAAAAAGTTTTTTAAATAAAAACACAACGGGAACAAAATAAATGAAAAAACAAGAACAATAATAAAGAAATGATTTTAGAATGACGGTTAATTATTATTGGATGAGTATATATAACGGAGAATTTATCATTTTTATGTAGTGATCGTTTGTTTTCTTGCTTCGTTATTATTTTTTTTTTCATTGCAATTCATTTTCATTTATTCGGATATTTTCAATATGATCGTAAAATCAATATTAATTTACGATAAACAACGAAATTTTATTTGTAATTACTAATTATCTTATGTATTTAATTTTATTTTTAGTCATAATATTACGGGCATAAATTATAATAAAATTTTAGAGAGTATTATAAGTAGCAAATAATTTAAGATTAGAATTTTATATTATGAAAGAGGTTATTGCCTACAGATTTGATCCAGAATTAAAATTAATTATCACATCCAATTTAATGAACTGTTTATTGATTTTTTGTCAGTTTGATATACTTACTGTAGTAAAATTATTCATTTTAAGTAATTAATTTGTAAAATATTTAAAAGCGTCCTCTATATATGTACTGACCAATAAAATT